AGAGAGGGAGAGAGAAAGGGGAAAGAAGGGAGGTAGAATGATGATAAGAAGTATTTCTAATGATTATTTGATAAAAACATTGAAGACTAAGATCGATCAAAACATTTGAAAAATCAATAAAACCTCTGATGAGTTTTGAATTTTCGTTTTTTCCGTCTTCTGACTTCATCATCACTCACCCTCACTCTCTCCCTTGGAATCTCTTCCAATCTTGAAAACCTTAAAAATAAAATAAAAACATGTTGCTATAAGTTGAAGATAACGTGTGGCATCATGAAAAATTGTATAAACGTGAAGTTTTCTCTGACAGCCGGGAGTTCAAGACAAGCATTATCATCAAGCTTCGCTTCAACTCTGCTCTTCTTCTTTCGTTTACTATCATACGCTATACCTTTCTCTCTTTCTATCATTATTTTTCGTTCAACTCTCTCCAACTGGCTTTATCTCTTAACTGTAGACTCTTGCTTACTCTCCCTCTATCTCTTCATCTCTCTCTTTCTCTATCTCTCCCTATTTAATAAGCGTTTAACATGAGCAACTGTTCGTAAGTAACAGAGAAAAGAGTTCTGACAGAAGCCTCCAGTTTTCATTTCAGCTTCTTCTCATTTTCTTGTCAGTTCCAGGTTTGAGCTATTTTATCTCATCGCTTGTCTTCCACCCTCTCTTCTGCTCAAATTTTCTTTGTCATCAACTCTCTCTCTCTTCCTTCTGTCTCATCGGTATAGAACAAGAAAACATTTTGTGCTTCAAGGTGAGATAAGAACATCTTTTTGACAAAACTTGAAAAAGAACTAAACTCCTTCACTAAGTGAGTCATAGCAAGCAAAGTGGAAAGAAGAAGATGAAGAAGAAGAAGCTCAATAACCGAATTGGATGTTCAGAAAAGGAAAATTAAAAAATAAAAAATTGAAAAGCGCAATGAGTTTTTGGTTTTTTATTTGACAAAGCAGAAAGCCGTCATTCGAAATATTTGTTATATTTGGATGTGAATGCTTTATCTAGCCAGAAGAGCAATTGATGAAGTCATTATGCTCATTATGACATTTGTCACAACGATGCTAAATCATCATCATCGTCAGCTCTTTTTGAGCTTTTTTTCTAAAATTCCGTAAAGCATCATGGCTCAACTAATGAGGAGGAGGGAGCAGTCGTAAGTCATAGTAGCTTCAGACTCATCTCCATATAAGGGATAGTATAGAATATCTAAAGGTTATGATTCACACTGCTAACCGTGAATAAAGGAACGAAAAAGGTACGAATAGAGAAGATAGAAGAGTTAAGAGACAACTTCACTGTCAACTGATTCTGCAAAGGGTTTTTGCTTTACAAAAAACGACATAAAAGAGAGAAAAGGAGAGAGGGAGAGAGAGAGAGAGAGAGAGAGAGAGAGGAGAAATAATTTGTTCAAAGAAAAACATAAGGAATTTCTGGAGGTATAAAGGCTGTGATGTGAAAATTATGTGTGACAGCTATGCATAAAGAAGAAGTTGCTTGTGTGCCAGGTGAACATAAAAAATCCAAAATTTGTGAGCTGCGTGGGGAGAGGAAAGGGGGATAGCAGAAGCTTGATTGACAAACTATTTACCTATTTAGGATGATTTGATCATTTGAATGTTATTTTTATTCATTTTAATACATTTTAAACGACACAACCAGCACAGAAGGAAGCAAACTTTCTTTTTTTGCTTGATTTACAAAGAAAAAACAAATGAGAGACAAATAGAAATTGGAAAAGTCATCTGAAGCCATGGGATTTAGGATTGACGACGCCTGTTGTTTCTACAACGACACCTTCTGACTACGTCATGGACTAAAAGTTTTTTTTCTTTCATTTCGTTGTGAGTCAGCTACTACTGCAGTCATATTTGATATGAGAGCTCCCTATACTATAATTAGTACGTTTTTACATTGGAAGAGAAGCATTTCTCTTGCTTCAGCTCTTTGTTAGATGCATAAGTATAGGGTTTGAATCTGAATGCCCTTTGAGCATGTAAACATCCACCTGGAGACTGCTGCAATCTAAGTACATCTAGCCAGCTAAAGATAGCCTTCATCATGCACTTCATTTCTGTTGGACATTCATCTCTTCACCTCTATTTTTTATATTTCAAAGAGCTCTGTATAAATTATATGCTATAAATATAATATTAATGATTTCAACAGATGTGGTTTGTGTCAGATTTTCAAAAAGTAAATGTGAGCTTTTACACCTTCTCATCTATACCATAACCTGCAATCGTTTTCATCCCTGCTCTCATTCAGTATTAGGCGTGGCTGATGACTCACCTGCTTCTCATAGCCTGACATGAACGAGAACCATGCACTTCATAACAACTAATATAATTGCGAACTGAAAATTAACATTACGAACTTTCAAACTTGTAGATCTACCGAGTATCAACCTTAATTACGCTAGCGACCAACTCAAGGTCCGACTCAATCATACGGACCTGGCGAAATCAGCAAAACCAATCGATAAAAATGAATTTTCTCGAAATTCTCTTAAATCGTCAGATCTTACTAATTTGGATCTTGAACTAACGAATTCCCAGTCATAAATGGATTCTGATGTATGGTTAAGGAGATCCAGATCGTGAGACCTTTCACCAGGTAATTGTTGGCTCCAACTTTTCAACTGATCCAACTTTAAAGACCGCGAATACGAAAATGGTTTCGAAACCGAGTGAACAAGGTTTTGATTATGAGTAATCGAACAAGGTTTTGATTTTGATAGAGAGAGTTTTTGAAATGCAACCGTTTTCCGTCTGAATCGAACAAAAAATGAACTTGAAGGTTGTCTTACGTTTCATTTGCATACGTGAGATTCAAATTAATGGCGGGAGACCATTCTTCTTGAATGATAAACAACCCGAGTTGAGAGAAAAAAAACATATAAACGGTGATTCGCTGTGCGTTACGTCATCGCTGGCTCGTGCCCAACTGAAGGTCCGACTCAACTCCACGGACCTCGCGAGTCGAACTCGGCAAATCAGCAAAACTGATCGAAAA